ATTTTTACAGACTAACTGGCACTAGGTGGGCAATGTGGTCAGCATTACACTGGCCATCTTTACTTCTCCAGGATATACATCCTGATACCTATTTTAGGCTGGGCCGACCTGCGACGCCCCATACCATGATAAAAATCCATGCAGCTAGCAGTGGGTTTCAATCGCGGTACGTTGGAATTACGAGTCAGACTCGCAACGCCTAAGCCACTGACGCCGCTTAGCAACCAAAAGTGTTTACTGTATTAAAGAATTCATTCTTCGCCTTCTAAAATATTTAACCGTACAGCAAAATTACCCTGCTCGAACTGGATAAAATGTCTGGCTTCTGTGGGTTTTGTGGTGTACATCTGCAAGACATTGTCGTCCATGATGGCAGATCCTCTGAACAAACTGAAACATCCAGGACAGCACAGGACACAGCCCAGAACGTGCTCAGCGGCTTTCTGAAGCCAGTGCCCAACAGCGTACTCGAACTGCTGGTACCAAACCATGGGACCTGTGAGGAGTGAATACAAGTGTAATTTAGATCCAAGGGCTATCTGAGCATGAGAGTTCCAACAGATGACAAATGTGTTCGGGGATCTGTTACTCGCGTACAACCTAGCCCACCCACCAATCCCAATCTCCACAACCGGACCGCTCTACGACAATAACGCGTAGAATCATTGTGCAACTTCATTTCATATACACCACCATGACATGCCTAAACTGCTCTTATTACAGAAGGACAATTATAAGACCACTATGGTTACACGCGAAATTTTTTCACAATTTTAGATCTATCTAAAACCAAAAACTGTTTTCAGTACTTTTTAGCAAAGTAAAATATTCAAAGTTTTATATCTCTAAATGGTGGTCCAAAAAAGACGTTATGTGGAAAGCTTCAGTATTCCAGTTTCGTCCTTTTTAGGACGAAATATTTTGCTATTGCTTTTGCCGGGGGCCGCAATATAGGCAGGCCATAAATATGGCCGATTGTCTGAACGCGGTTTCTGGGAACTCTCCACGGCGATCCTCATCCACATGGTGGCACTTTGTGTCATCGGGTGTTTATCGCTTGTGTAATGTCCTTGTGGGGTAGAAAGTCAGTCATTCAGTCCTACGATATAGGCCTGGTTAAAATAGAAAGAGCAAGGGGGAAAAAAGAGGAAACACCAAGAAGGAAAGGACAGGAGGAACTCACCCGGACACAGAAAAAGATCAAGCGGTCTGACTTGGAGGGAAGAAGGACTAAACCTAGAGTTGGCGCAAATGGCAGAACCTGAGCCACAAAAGTGGCGAAAATAAACTAGACCAAAAGTATAACAGGAGACTGTTAGCAGCTTCGGCTAGCTAGCAGCAAGTTAAACCTGATCGATTTTTTTCTTTAAAGGAACAGGAACAGAAACTAATGGCTGTTTACGACCTGTCTGGTAGTCAGCTTTGAAAGAAAAAAAAAACTTTGTAAGATAAAGATTCCATTCATTCATCATTCATTCATTCATTCATTCATTCATTCATTCATTCATTCATTCATTCATTCATTCATTCATTCCTTTTATGCGTCTAATTCACCTGCTACTTTAACTTCTATTACTACTACTGTTGCTGCTACTATTACTACTGATATAAAAGCTACTACTGCAACTATTGCTGCTTCTACTATTTCTGCTGCTGCTGCTACTGCTGCTTCTGCTGCTACTACCGCTATTGTTACTTCTCTTCTTTACACCTCTCGTCTTCCAGTGACAACCTAGTCAATCTACACCAAGCCCTTGTATGACTTAATCATGGATTTTAAGCTGAAGATTTGTGTTGGAAGAAATAGTAAGAGTTAAGAATTGGGCAGTCAAGTCCATTTCACATTCTCCTTTTTTAGCTTCCTCCTTACAAACATTATTCCATTCATGTGGTACAGATTACGGCGTAAACAACGAAGAAGAGAAAGTACTACACAAACGAAAAGTTAGCAATTCCTAAAACCTACTAATATATACAGTTGATATAACGCTATGTGTTACCTGACCCAATAGGGTGGATCCGACCACATACAGCTCCAACCTTCTTGTTTTTCTTCATGCGATCCACCAGCAATTTCACGGACTCCGGCTTAAAGTCCACATCACCGTCCAGGGTCAGAATGAAAGTATTCTCCGAAGTCTCAATTATCTGTTGAAAAAAATAAAATAAAGGGCCTTTATCAATCCAGTGGCGCATCAGGCATTGATACGAGTCTCATTTATATAGAACCATCGGTACTTGGTGGGTGATGTGGTCAACATCACAGCAGACGCCTTTACTTCCCAGGACTTTACCTGTTTCCCGTTTTCGGTGGGTTCGACCTTGGAGTCAGTTTCACCCCCACCCCTCCCAAAAAGAAACCGCAGACTAGAGGATTCGAACCCAAGACCTTCGAGACAGCCCTAATATAACCTCTTGAAGGTTGAACGAGACATGGGATGTCTTTTAGACTTGATATCCAGAAGGTGTCTTTTAAGTTTGCTTGGATGTCAAACATTCAGGAAAAAACCCAACAAGCAGAAAACAGCTATTCACTATTTCCAGTAGCCGACCTCCAGGTCTTTTTTTTCGCGTTCATCGGTTGTAAACTTGGCTGAAAGTTTTGGTTGTTCGTCCACTCCTGGATATAAGACTTGTTACAGAACTTGAGTTTTGCTTGCACATCCGTTTTTTATAGACCCTGTCTTATCGCTAAGCATATTCTTGGTTGCTAGCCTCCGACTTCGAAGGAAAGAGATACAGGTCTTATTATGTGCCTTCTTCCATTCTTCCGTTGACACCCTCCTGGCTGCTGATTTAAACTGATCGTTTGACGACCCTGAAATTATAAAATCTCAGTCTGAATAACAAGCAAGTGACGTACATCACAGATAACATGTTCAGCCTCTAACAAAAAAGTTATAACTGGGACAGCTGTAACGACCTGGTGTAACCCGCATCCCTGTGCGTGTATGTTGAAGGCTGAATAAGGAATCGACATCACAGCACTCGGGACACTCCCATAAGCACTCAGTCCCCATCTTCAGCAGCAGGCGAAGAGTTGCAATTCCGATAGTACCAGTAACCGTCTGATTGTCTATCCATCTCATCCTTCCCCTGAGTGTTGAGCGTCGGCCAGATCCCCTGGTAACTCCTCGCAGTGCTATTCTCCTTAGACCATAATGATGTGTCTGCGTCTCCGCACTGTTCGCTCGCTCTCAAAGGGCCCTCAAAAAATCTAACTTGTCATACATCAATTCACCACCATGTGGTGCAGAGCCAGCCAGTCTTTATGCCTGCTCATTTCCCAACACAACGGCATGACCTGGAGAAAATATCCAAAGGATGCTAACTACCCGGGACCTCTGAAGTGATGCTTGCCACTCTGCGCGAGGCATGCTCAACATACTTTGTGACTCAGTTACAATTACGGCATGTGTGTACAGCTGATTCTCAAGACGACGGAAGTCAGCAGAGACTGCCTCCACCTCCATTGCCATACTAGACGTTGTGATTGCGTGTATGTTCTTGCCTTGCACTGATTTTGTGGTCAATGTCATGTATTCCATAAATACCCTAAGCCAGGGCTATTCAACTGTTTTCTCATGGACCAAAATGTTGAATACGAGGAAGAAGCCTGAGCCTCAGCACAGAAAGATAATTAAGACAATACAACTGGCATTGATCCAGGGGTCATTTGCTAGGCCTTCGTGGGCCGGATTCAGTCTGCAGGCCGCCAGTTCATCTTCTTCACGTTAACCGGTTGTAAACTCTGGAGGACAGTTTTGGTTGTACATCCACCTCCGGGCTTTAGTTAGTTTCCGCAACCTTTTGTTGCGAGCATATCCGTTTTACATATCTAGCTTATGTTTATGCAGACTTGTGGTTCCTTGCCTGTCAGACAGGTGCACTCTGACTTTGAAGAATAGCCCAATTGGTGGACTCTGATGACATGCTTGTTGGAGAGACAGTGGGTATATTCTGCCCCCCCCCCCCAGTGGGATCAAAGAACCCACGCGAGGAAGCCACCAGTTTAATAGCGCTACCCTATGCTGTGCTATATATTTACACACACAAAAGTTCCTAAGATAAAGCTTACTTGTTCGTATTCATCAGGGGAAACTCGCATAAGCAGTTGTTTCAGGGGCATAGTCATGCCCTTTCTTCTCTGGTTGCCTTTCTTCTTCCGGTGTCGTAGGTGAGGGTGAGTTTCTTCTGGCTTATCTTTTTCCATGACGTCAATTCCGTCACCACAGCCCAGGAGACGGAACCCCAGCAAGTAATAGAGGTACATTACCTGTTGATGGAAAATGTGTGACAAAGATTAAAAACAGAATAGGTCAAGCGAAAGCTGAATTTCAGAAAATGAAAAACATCTTGGCTCTCATTTAATGTCAGAAAGAGGGTGCTAACGTGTTACATGGAACCTGCTCTGCTGTATGGCAGCGAATCTTGGAATGGCAGTGAACAATAATAAAGAATTTGGAAGAAACAGAGATGCGGTTTCTGTGACGGATGTTACGAATACCTTGGACGACTAGAGTAACTAACAAAGATTGCTTGAAAGAAGCTAATGAAAGTAGATCTCTATATACAACAATAAGAAAGAGACAAACACTGTTCTTTGGCCATATAATGAGAAGAGAGACACTGGAGAACATCTTGACAACTGGAAAGATCAGTGTAAAAAGGAGGTAGAGGCAGACCAAGTGAGACGATGCTGAATGGGCTGAAATTATGGCATGGAAGAAATATCATCAAGACAGCTGTTCCAGGCAACCAGGGATCGTGATCTGTGGAGACAAATGAGCGCCTACGCCAGTTGGCAGGGCACAAGATAATGATGATAAACCTGTTGATGATAGCTGAGATATGTATCACCCTCATTCTAGAGTTGATATCAGTTGATGTCACTTTCATTCTGAATACATACATTTGATTATATAGTGGTACCTTGGAATTCAATCCGCCTCAGGACCCGAACAACTTGGAATACGAACAAAATTGTCAAGTAAATTCATCCTCAGAACTTGAATGTCTTCTGGGAAACCGGACACCTGGCACGTACCGATCAGGCGACTGAGCTGATAACGCAAGCACTTCAGCACCTTTACCAGTACCAGACGGAACAATTTGCAAAAGAAATTTTTTTTCGCAGAGGAAGAGGTGGTAAGCGGGAAGGATTAGCAATAATGAAATCCAAGATCTGTTGATCATGTGGTCGGAAACGCAAGACGTTTTTGAGTGGTGGCACCCTGATAGAGCCCAAGTCAACAGTCATGTTAACTTATTCAATGATCACCAACATCAGAGCACGTTAGAACGCTGGCTGCCAACTATGTTTATGTTTGTTCAGCGAATCAACATCATGGCACACGGATGCCCAAAAGTGCTCCCTTCTACTTCTAACTCAAGCCTGAGTCTGAAGAATCTCAGCGCTGTGCACAAACTGTGGTTGGCAGGGATCTTCTTTTTTTTTTTGGGGGGGGGGGGGGGGCAGCTTTTTTAACTCCAAATTTGTACCTGGGCAGCGCCGTTAAACTACTCTTTTCGATTTTTAACTGCCAAGGGATTTTTTACGTGCGCAACATTACACAGGGACGTCCGGTATTACTACACAGGGACCAGATGAAATTACTAGAAGTCCATGTGAAAAAATCCCAGCTTTCACCGGGGCTTGAACCCGGGACCTCTAGCACTAGAGGCGGACACCATGCCTCGAGACCACGCAGCTCCCTTGGCTGTCAATAAGAACTAGTTGACTCTAAACTCTCTACAAGTGGTAAACGACTACCATATGACACACTAGAAAGTGACGATCGAACAATCACCTATGCCTACCAGTCTGTAACATGATGATAATAAGGATAACGATGATGATAATGGTGATGATGATGGCTGTTTAACAGACAAGCAATATCTCACCTACCAACCTTCAGTTGTGACAAGACAGAACGCACGGCATATACAAACACGTGACACATATTACGTCACCTGTGACCATCTCTTCCTATGCCTGATCTTGTTTTTGTCCTTCATATGGATGACCATCTTAGTTTGTCCTGGCATGGTCCAGATGAGACGCCCTCCATAGGGCGTGGCCACTTTGACAGGGGATGGTATGATGATGAAGCCTTTCACAACCGAACTAAGTATATATATGAATCATTATGAATTTACATAAGGTAAAGGTGAGAGGATCGACTTCATTGCACCGGGTTTCATCCCATACGGCTCTGTTTCTCTCGGCAAAACAGCTAACTGCCTGCCGAAAGCGTCACACAGAGCACGAACTCCGTAGCTCCGGCGTCGATTACCAGGGATGCCCGTAAATCTCCGTGAAACCATAACCTTCAGAGCGCGAGGCAAACGGCTTACCACTTCGTCACAGAGACCCCCCTGTGAATTTACATATGAACACTAGGGGTGCATGTGAAGTGTATGGTATGGGCATGTAGAGAGATTGGCAGATAGAGAGACAAAAGCTGATTGCACAAAAGAGTTGAATGGAAGCATAATACGAGGCAGACTTGTCGTGTCATAACGCTTTCATGATGCTCTCATTACGCTCTCATTACGCTCTAATGACGCTCTCGTGAACTCTCAAGACGCTCCCATGACGCTCTAATTACGCTCTCATGGTCGTGTCATAATGCTCTCATGACGCTCTCATGACGCTCTCATGACGCTCTCGTGGCTCTCTCATGATGCGGTTACATAATTATTTAAACACTGACTGTAGGACCTAAGGAAAACACTGTGCATATAGAGCTAGGGGGTGGTATGATAAAAAGACGGTATGGTTAGAAGCCTTTCCAACAGACCTAGGGGCGTTTGAATAGTACTATACAATGATTAATTTATATGTGAATGTAGGGGAAAATACTGAAGATATGAGGCTAACGGATCTCGACGTGGTCAAGACGTTTGCCTCACCCCCTAAAGGTCGTGGGTTCGTGGCACAGGCTGCATAGTTCAGTTGACATGTGCAACTTATAGGGAGATCCCTGGGGATCATCTTTTGAGCTACAGAGTTCGTGCTCTGTCCAACACACTCGTCAGAAGGCTAACCGTTATGAGGAGAGAGAGAGAGAGAGAGAGAGAGAGAGAGAGAGAGAGAGAGAGAGAGAGAGAAAGAAAGAGAGAGAGAGAGAGATAATCAATGCGGTGCAATGAAGTCTATCCTCTCGCATGATGATGAACCCTTTTATGATAGAACTGTGAGTGTTTGCATAATTAAATGTATACCTTATGCATTTGTGAATACTGATGTAGCCGTGATGTAACTATTTGGCGCTCGCCTGCGCATTCGAAGGTCATGGGTTCAACTCGGCTTTCAGGTCGACCCAGCCTTAAATAGGTACCAGACATGTCCAGGGAAGTAAAGGCGGCCGGTGTGATGCTACCCCACCAAGTGCTGATTGGTCTATAAAATGTAGGTCTAACACTATGTGCCAAATACGCTGGAAGGTGTGGAAAGGGACTGATAAATATTGGACAAATGGGACCACACTGTTGTAGTTATAGACCAAACAGTGCTCCATAGGGAATGAATGCATCAACATCGAGCCAATAGTAAATGTGCTAGCTACGTGTTTCAGGTTCCCGATTCGTTTTGGTAAACATCAAAGGCATTTTTCACACCAGTGGAATATAGTGTACATGATGTTAACCTCACAATTATATAGAGCAATCAATGCTAGACTGGTGATGTGGTCATCATCATACTAGCCGACTTTACTTCACAGCATCTTTCCTAGTACCCATGTTAAGGCTGGTTCAACCTGGTAGCCCATGTTTTTCAAAACTGTATTCACCTTTTTTTCTTCAAACTGTCTTTAACTGTCTGTATTTAACCTGTTTCTTCAAACTGTCTTAACTGTCTGTATTTATCGTTTTTAAACTGTCCTAACTGTCTGTATTTATGGGGGTTTTTTTTAATTGTCTTAACTGTCTGAAATTTATCGTGTTTGATATGTCCTAATTGTCTATGTTTAATGTTTTCATCAAACTGTTTAACTGTCTGTATTTAACCTGTTTCTTTAAACTGTCTTAACTGTCTGTATTTATCGTTTTTAAACTGTCCTGTCTGTATGTTTTTCAAATTCTTTGTCTATTTTTAACGGTTTGTAAAAGTTGTCTTAACTGTCTTGATTTACTATTTTTAAACTGTATTATCTGTCTGTATGTAGCATGCTTTAAAATGTCTGAGCTGTGTGTTTTACCGTGTTTTAATATGTTTAATGTGTCTCCATTTGTCGTTTCCTTAAAACTATTTTAACTGCTTGTATTTACCGTGTTTTAAACTGTCTTAATTATCCGTATTTATCGTTTTAAAAAAGTGCTTAAATGTCCGTATTTACCGTTCTTAACTGTCTTATTTATTAATGTTTATTGTTTTAAAACTGACTTAACTGTCTGTACTTACCATTTTTAACTGTCTTTTTGTCTGTATTTACTACTTGTTTTAGAACGGTGTAGGTCAAATTGGGGGCAGGGACGGGTCTTAAACCTGACGATTTAGCCAGTTGCGTCGTCATGAATCTTGGCTGCTGAATTGATACAAGACAAGGCAGATGTGGTCAAGGAACAAGCAACGGAATCAGTAAAGAAAAAAGATTATTATGACCTGGAGAGAATGAGCCACCTGGGTGTAACCAGAGAGTCTGGTCGACTCACTACTGTAGCACAGCTCTTTTCTTTGTTGCGTATGTTGATGTCACACCCAGGTTCGTCTTTAGGTTTGCTACAGGAGTCGATTAGAAGATTATAGACGAGGAGAAAGATGGTCGTGTCGTTAGTGGTTATGATGATGATGATGTCTTGCTTTCTGCATGCTTCTCACGTGACTCTGGTGCTTGTATAATAAAATGCCTGGAAACAACACTTCTTGTCTATGCTGTCTTTATTGTGATACTTTAACAATGTCACCAACAATATCAATGATATTCTGAATAGCGCTGTGCTCTCTCCCTCTCTCTCTCTCTCTCTCTCTCTCTCTCTCTCTCTCTTTCTCTCTCTCTCTCTCTCTCTCTCTATGGCTAAATACTCGTAGGTTCGCGTTGTGTTCTTCATCTCTGGTTACTTAGGTCCTAGTGTCTCTAACTGCCACCTGGCTTCTAGTGCTGTTTGGTACTAATGGCTTGATCGTTGACTCTAACATCTCTATAGTGTTCCTAATATGTCTCTGTTCTCCATGGATCCATGTATATCTTGTGTGTCGTCTCTGTAGCTCGATGTCTCGTTTCATGTCTGCTCTCCAGTGACTGTCTTCTAGGTTGCATATGAACGTCTGCTCTCCTTCCAGTGTTGAGCTGGCATCGAGGATCATTGAAACTAGTCGCTCGTCCTCTGAGTCTCAATGACTGAAGGCTTCTAGTGTTGGGCTAACATCTCTAGCACTGAAGGCTGTCTTTAGAGTCAATGTGACTGGTCTCTCCTCTCGAGTCTTGTCGACTGAAGAATTGCTAAAGTGCTTCGTTACTCGCTATTTATACTTGGATGCTGGAATGCTAGGTATTTGTTTTCTTCTCGCTTTGTCTGCTTCTAGAATATTTCAGTATGCCTCAACTTGTTTACTGGGTAGTTTCTCACGTGGGATTTGCTAATTATATCTCGATTGCATCAGATTTTATCAACCTATTCTACGCAGATATAGTAGTTAAACTGACAATTGAGGTCATAGAAGCTTCTAAAAAACAAGGACAATTGTGTTTGCTTTGATAAGGCATGACAACAAGGTATTTACTAGGAAGACAAGGTTGGGTCACATGATGAAAAACGCATTTCAAAACTTCTAGAAAGAAGGCCAAGGCGAGAAAACCTCAGTTTGATGTCAATAGCTTGCTTTAACGGGAAAAGAAGATTCTGGAAAAGGGAATGTCAAGGCTGCCAAAACTTGTTGATTTTCTGTAAATCAGAACTTTGTGCCTTCTAACAAATAAGCTATGACTTAATAATTCTGTTACACTACACTCAGAGGAAAGGCAAGACGGAAATATAACCAGATTGTGACCGGTTAAATCAGTATTTGAACTCTGCTCTGGCTACTGAAGATGAGGACGGAGTGCTGTGATGTCAATTCTTGACTCAACTCAACTCAACGCCTCTTGAAAATGTGTCATATAGCACTAACCTTTAAGCTCAAGCAATGACCTCCAGCAGTCTTCATAAAACTGCAATCACAAGCTGAACTATACCCTCATGAAACGAACCCACGACACTTATAAAGCAAGGCGAACGGCTTTACCACCTTCCCAACATTTACAGTGGTGCTTACCTGGCAGCATCCTCCATGCAGCCAATGAACTGGCGAACAAAAATATTGGGCACGAACTTGTTGTGTACAACATCCAGCTCAAAGGCATCGTCAAAGATGATGTGAACTGTGAAGACATGGTCAAGACAAGTGTCATTTCACAATATTTTTGTTGTTCTTGTCCGCATGGTTACAGTTATTACTTTTTAAGGAATGCTACCTAGTTGTAAATTTAAACAAAGAAAATACAAATAACACAAGCATTGCCTGGCCAATTGAATTGCATCTCGACAAGATTCTGTCGAGATTTGTGCAGACAAAAAGACACGGTCGTAAAAATATGATTGCACCCGAGCGAAATATGTGTCTGGCAATCAGCTGTGTAATCTTTTGCGAGTCTACTGTGGTTTTTGTAGCTACTGTTGTTATTGTTGTCGGCTCTATTGTGATTGTTTTTGTTGGTGTTGTTGTTGTTCTTACTGTTTTCATCATGGATATTTTTGTTACTGGCGTTTTTGCAAATGATGTTGCTACTGTTATTGTTGCTGGTTTTGTTGTTGTACAGTGTCAGTTAGTGTTTGCCACATTTAGATCTCTTTTATTTTTTTTTTTTTTTTTTAGTGTTTTTGTATTCGATATCTTTAGGTCTTTCCCTTTCACTTGTTTTTATAGCAATACCTGTTTTTAAATATATTAATATTTTACTTTTTTAAAACCCTTATTTATGCTACGGCATGGTGAAATATCATCACTGAAACTTATTAACAATGCCACTACCGAAATCGGTAGAAAATCATCGCGCCAAGCCGCTGGGCAGGGCACATGGTGCTGATACTTTTTAAAAGCTTATATTACTTTTCCTACCCCATCAGTGAAACACGTAGTGTTATGGTTAATGAAAGGTCGTTACCAAGATGTTGAGTCCACCCCTTCTCATAACATGACTGAAAACACTAAACACGTCTAATTTCTCTAGGATTTTTATCCGTCTCGATTAGATCTGCTTCGTTTGCTTTTTGTCACTCTTTGATATTGTTTTATCCTTCAGTGTGATAATGACCATGAACATCGAAACTGATGTTAATTTCAAACCCATCACCGCCGGACAGGGAAGTAGCAGAACCGTGCCCCCCCCTCTCCCCCATCATCATCATCAGGTGCCTTGCCGACTGGCGTGGGTGATCATGCCTCTCCATTATCTGCTATATCCTTCAGCATGTATCCGTTCGTGTACCGACATACCTTCATGCCATGCAACAAGACTGTCAAGCATCTTCTCTCGTTGTCTTTCTCTATCCCTCCTTCCACAGATCTTTCCAGTGGTCACAACATGTTCTATTTTCCCTCTTCCCATAACATGGCCGAAAAATGATGACTGTTTCCTTCTGATGTCTGTGATAAGTTGTCTTCGGGCTCCCGCCTCTTTCAAAACTTCGTGGTTGCTCTTTCTGGCTGTCCAAGGTATTCTAAGCATTCTTCTGTAAAACCACATCTCTGAGGTCTCTAGAAATTTTTTGGCCTGCCTACCGATTGTCCAGGATTCACAGCCATGTGTTAAAACTGGATGTATGCAGCAAGCAAGAATTCTTTTTCTAACTCTCAATGACAAGGATATATTGCACAAGATGTTTTTCACTTTAAAAAATGCAGTTTTTGCCTGTCCTATTCTGTTTATAATCTCAGTTATGCATCTTCCATCTGACGTTATCCGTGTGCCCAGATACTTAAATTTCTGTACTAGTCCTAAAATAACACCATCAACTTTTATTACACACTTAGAAATAATTCGTTTCTTTGATACCACTATTACTTCTGTCTTCCCATTATTCAAACTGAGGCCCATTCTTCCACTTTCTAACACCACAATGTCTAGCTTTTCCTGTAGTTCTTTCTGACTTGTTGCTACCAAGACTGTCACCACACACCCACCCATCCTATAAAGAAATGTCCAGAAAAGTGTTTATTCTCTTTTCATTTATTTGTTACAGAATATTCACTACTCACTTTCCATGTCAAAGTAGTCTGGGTCGCGAATGTTAAATCTCGCTTGTGCCAGCTTGCTCGCACAGTGACCATAGTCCAATCTACAAGGATAACAACACTTCAATATACTTGTGTAGTTAACATTACAATATTGAAGTCATAGACAACAGGCAACTGTAACGCATAATTTTAGAAACGGGTTCGTGCAGCAGGAGAAATATCAATAAGCTAAATAAAACACACAAAAATTCCTCCAGAATTGTTAAGTTTAGTTGAGTCAAGAATTGACATCAGAGCACTGGGGCATTCCCATATGCGATCCGTCCGTATCAACAGCAGCCAGTGCACAGCTCTAATACTAATGGTGCCAGTCGTAGTCTGGTTGTAATGTCCGTCTTGCCTTTCCTCTAAGTGTAGTGAGCCGGCCAGACCCTCTGGTCCCACCCAGGTGCATCATTATCTTGAAGCCATAATAATCCAGTTTCTCTTCTGACTTCGTTACTTGTTCTCAAAGGGCCCTGACCACATCTGCCGTGTCATGTAGAAATTTACCACCCAGTGGTGCATATCCAGTTATCTGTCTGCCTGTTGATTACCTATTTCATTCACCCCCGCCTGCGGATCGGAAGGTCGTGGGTTCGTTCCCTGGCGGAGCAGGACTTTTTTCAAACATGACCTTGGCTCCCAGGTCGACCCAGCCTTGAGTAGGTACCGGGTGCAGTCCTGTGAAGTAAAGGCGGCCGGCGTGATGCTGACCACATCACCTCTCTTGTGCCGTTGGTCTATAAAATAGATCTAGCCCTATATACCCAATACGTCTGAAAGGCGTAAAAAAAAAGGTCCTTTTTTTTTACTCAAGTGTGTTCAGAACGCTCCACGGTCATGTATATAGTCTGTACTGTCTATATTCACGATTTTAGCGCGGTGTCGGCGAGTGGGTCAGGAGCATTGAAATAAAGACATACCAAAAAACACACGGAGATGAGAGCTAGAGGGTGAAGATAAAATGTAGGGAGGACATGAGGTGAGCTACCTACACTGCCAGCAACAGTCAGGGATTGGACAACCTGGCGTGAGGGCCCATGCTCCGTGGGGATGGGGGGGGGGGGGGGGAATAAAGGCAGCAGAAGAAGAATAAAGTGGATCCGGCGTAGCATGAGCCTGCGGATTTATGGATGTATGGATAGTGCAGTCCCTGTGAAGTGTGCAGTAAGCGCTTTTATTTGTTGCCTTGCCCGGCTCTCTAGCGTAGTTGTCTAAACCGGATTGCGCGGTGACCGGGTGACAAACTCCTTGTGGTCTGGGTTCACTCCTGGGGGTAGGCAGAAAAGCCACATTTCTCCCATATTTACGCTATTTAGAATGGAATCAAGGCCGAAAGGTTGCGATATCCATAATACCGAGCCTAAGGGTTAACAACTCATGGCTTCTGGATACTCAAACAAACATACATGTTTTGCCTTGTACGATCTAACTGCAAATAGGAGTGTTGACATAGGATACTGTTAGAAGCTTAACTTTATAAAAAAAAATTCCCCCGCAAAGGGGGAAAGTGATGATGCGATAAGGGGAGAAAAAGTCGGGCAAAGGGAGGGGGTGTACTCAGGGTGAATAAGTTATCAGATTCCATCGCCTTTAACTGCAGTCAGTTAGAACGTATTAAATACCTGAAAAGGGATTTAAGAAGTTGTGTCATCTCTCTTTTGGTCTCGTGCCACATTGTGGCACACACGTAAATGGTTGGTGTGACGTAGCTTTCTTCCGCTGATGCTTCGTGGTGAACGTGATCCCCTGCCTCATCAGCCACGTAGCTCAAGTGCTCAAATCGGCCTGCCCGCAGTTCTTGTCTGCGTCGTCGTAGGGTTAGGTTTAAGTCTGGGAAGATGGCAGTGAAGTGGGGCGTCAGGAACAACCTGTTGACAAGATAGTGCGCTAGAGTACTGTAATAAAAGGTTAGTTGCGTATCCGTTACAGAACGTTGCAGAACCAACCGCAACAGCCCCTGGCTATTGTGTGGCTTTTCTAGGCAAATTTACGTCCAGTAGTTTGCCATTGCCTCTGGACGGTCGGCTTTCTTGATACCATTGTCGAAACCAACGCTAAGTGCATGGCCCGCAGCTGGGATCGAACCTGGCATCCCGGCATTACGAAGCGTTCGCATCGACTAAGCCACAGAGCCGACACTGTAATAAAAACAGGGAAATATTTGTGGAAAAGACATCACAATATGCATTTATAACCGATTCCTTGCTCGTTAAAAGTTCTTTTTTCTTTCTTCTCCTTTTATTTTTTTTTATTTAATTTGCAAATGTTTATTTGTCTCTTTTTCTTTCTGTCTTTTATTCTTTCTTCTTCGTCTTCCTTTTTTCTTTCTTTTTTCTTTCTTTCTTTCTTTCTTTCTTTCTTTCTTTCTTTCTTTCTTTCTTTCTTTCTTTCTTTCTTTCTTTCTTTCTTTCTTTCTTTCTTTCTTTCTTTCTTTCTTTCTTTCTTTCTTTCTTTCTTTCTTTCTTTCTTTCTTTTTTTCCTCCTCATCCCTATCTTCCTTCTTCTTCTTCTTCTTTTTTTCTTCTTTTTCTTCTTCTTCTTCTTTCTCTTCTTCTTATCTTCGGCTTCTGTACACACACACACACACACACACACACACACACACACACACACACACACAAACAACAGTTTCCATCTGCGATGCTTTCTAAAATTAATGACTACCCAATGTCATAACAAAATAATCATCATTGATCTACAGAAGTGCACGAAGCACTTTTGGATCATGTTAGTTTTAAACTTCAGACAGACTCTGTAGCTGCCACACAAATGATAGAAAGCTATCAAAATCCTAGACATGTTCTATATGGGCATTATTTTAAAATAGGAGAGTAAGACCTTAAGGCCGTTGAAGATTAGACTAGTATTCCTAAACAGGTTTCTATCGCCAGCTCGTAGGGAAACCTCTTCGGGGTTGTGAAAGCTGTTTTACATCCCCAGTATACCTGGACTTGAAGCCAGCCGCAGGTAGTCTGGAATGTGTGTGTGTGCGCGCGCGGCGTGCGTGCGTGTGTGTGTGTTTATATTTATATATAAACTAGCAGGGATGGATCGGCACTTATCCAAAATTAGAAGGTCATAATAGACAACGTAAATATCGAAAGCTGTAGACAGCATGCCAGGAATCGAACCTGTCACCTCCAAGCGCCCTAACTGAGACGTTATGAGCGTAGCACCGTTAAGAATAAACGGCAAATAATGAATTTAATATTGCTTTTTATACCCACACACACTACTTGATAGATGTTGGAGTTAGTTTGCGAAGTTCTGTAAAAGGTTATGGAAGTAAGTTGTTGAGGAGGAATCGACTGAAGGCCTACTCAGCAATAGAGAAGGTCGTGAACTAACATTCAAAGATATGTGGGGTGGCCGGGTGGGGTGGGGGTGGCGGGGGGGGGGGGGGGGGGGGGGGTGGGTATGTAAAGAAATTAGTTCCTAACATTGTGTTTCATAAACTAGCACCGAAAATATCGCATGATTTTGACCAGTAGACAAAAGCATAGCACTGTCGTCGTCATTATCGGTATCAGTTTCGCAATTATAAATATTGGATGCAAGTAACGAACTTCCAAAACACTAGTAAAATGTTTTTGCCAAAGACGTTGTATGTATTATGTACTGCTGTGTGTATTCTTTGTACTATATTCCAGTTGAAAAGCATGCACAGCATTAAGCCAGATCTGATCGTGACCAAAGTCCAGGAGTAGACTTACCACCGGGACTTTCCGCAAGAAATTTAAACCGATCAACACTAAGAAGAAAGAATAAGAAACTACTCACTTTTCAATCTTGGCCATTCGTTCACTTCTAGGAAACCAGATGTGGGAGACGATGATGCAGTAGGAGAACCACAGTGTCCCCGCCAGGGCTATAGGCTGAATGAGGTTTTCTATGTTAGTGTTGGGACAGAACCATGCTCCAGTGTGCCACTTGACAGGTATAAACTGAGGAAAGACATGAATTTTTGGCTGGCGGAGTCTGTTTTTAATCATTTCATCATTCAAATCGATAAGTCATTCACTGCATCCAGGACAGTGGCTTTCTGTCTTCCTTATGCCGCGACCCTTTAATACAGAACTTTATGTCCCCCGTGTGGGTTCTGGGGCCCCATTGTGGGGAAAACAAGAATAGACTCACTGCCTCCCCAAAAGCATGTGGTAAGAGTCGACTAATTGGGGAGCTTCCTTTGAAGTCGGAGTGCATCTGCCGGAGAGGTAAGGAACCAACAGTCTGTATTCAAGAGAATGAGATCTGTAAAACTGATGCACACGCAACACTCAGGTTGTGGAGCAGGACTGCAGTTCAGTAGTGGACGAGCAACCAGAACTTTCCGCCAGAGTGTACAGCTGGTAAACGCGAAGAAGAAGAAGAAGTTCTTCATGTTGTCATGACTTGGAACCATAAAATTAATTTCGTTGCTACTTCATAACTTCAGTGAATATGTGTTTTCCGATGGTCTTAGGCGACCCCTGTGAAAGGGTGATTCGACCCCCAAAGGGATCGCGATCCACAGGTTGAGAATTGCTGATCTAGAAGAAGATCCTTTACAGAAGGTTGTTCTCATCTTAGAGTCTGTGTCCTTTACTTCCCCGTGTGGGTTCTGGGGCCCTATTATAGGGAAAACAAGGATAGACTCACTGCCTACACAAGAGCATGTCGTAAGAGTCGACCAATTGGGAGCTTCCTTTGATGTCGGAGTGCATCTGCCTGAGAGGCAAGAAACCAACAGTCTGGGGACAAATTAGTCAGATCTGTCAAACGGATGCACACGCAACACTCGGGTTCTGGAAAAGGACAGCAGTCCAAAAGTGGGTGAACAACCAGAACTTTCTTCCAGAGTTTACAGCTGGTGAGCACGAAGAAGAAAAGAAGAAGATTCAAATTGATAGGTCACCCACTGCATCTAGAATAGTGGTTCTCAGCCTTCCTAATGTCGCTACCCTTTAATACAGTTCCTAATGTTGTGGTGACCCCGAACCATAAACAAATTTCGTTGTTACTTCATAACTTCAGTAAATTTGTTGTTTTTTTTTTTCGATGGTCTTAGGCGACCACTGTGAAAGGGTCGTTTGACCCTAGAAGTGGTAACACCTGCAGGCTGAGAACCGCTGATCTAGAAGTAGATCCTTTACAGGACGTCTCCGATATCCTATAGATCTAATTCCTTTACCAATTCCGCCTACGTCTTGCATTTTTTAGGACTAAGAAATTGTCCTTAATCTGTTCTGTGTTCAACTATCTCTGTCTGTTCTTATACAGACTACATCTGCCTTATTTGTCCTTTATCAAAATACTATGATGATTAATCTAGTCATGTCGGTACTTATCACGAACCTACCCACACGATGAGAGTTCCTTCACCTCCCATTCATGCCGCGACGGGTGACACGGCCTGTCCTATGTTGTGTGGGTGTCATCTATTCCTTATTTTTAACGGTTTAACCCTTGTCTCTTTTGTCGCGTTGTCATCGCTCACTTTCTTGATTACTTGAACGTTGTGCTACTTGCCAGAAGGTTCGTAAAAGTCGAAACTGCAATGTTTTTGTATTTCTACGTTCCCTGTCAGTTACTTCTTTTTGTGGAGGAAAGCTACCGTCAAGGGACATGGACATTAAAAAACGTCCCAGTTTCAATATTCACGAACAGTCGCGCCGTCGGCGCTTCTCCCTGCAGTACTACTTACTTGTTAACAGACGCCTGCGGTGCCTCAGATATACTCACGACAACACAACCTTCCATACATATTATATACGGCAAGCTAACGCCGAATAAAAGCCATCTCATAACACTCCTACAACATAGGACAGGTCATGCGACCCGCCGCGGCATGAATGAGAGGGGAAGGAACTCTCGTCGTACGGGCAAGTTCGTGAGAAGTTTCGTCAGATCATTTTAGTTTCTTAAACAGATGCTATATGTACGCCGGCTTTCCTTCGAATCTTAATATCTAGTTAAATTTCAAAACTGATCTTCATTTTAGTCTACCATATTTTAAAAATAATTATATTTAAAAAAAAACGGAAGAGTGTGTGTTGGGAAAAAAAAGGGGGGGGGGGGGGGGGGGGAGAGATCATTTGATGGCATATTCTTCAAGTATATTATTCTGGGTATGCTACTGAATGAGCTGAAAATAAAACGAATCAAAATGCAATCATAAGGAGGTCATTAGAAATGGCACAAAAAGAACAAAAGCACAATTATAAACACACATTTTCTAGGCAGGTAAAAAACTGGTTGAGATAACAATGATATTTTTAAATATACTGATGTGGACCGTAAAACGCTTTTTTTTTAACAAATAAGAAAACCTACTGAAATAATAAAAAATATGGTTTCAACAAGTTTGTTTAAATAACTTAAGGAGTCAATATAAATAACATAACTGCTTCCAGAAAAGATAAAGACAAAATATAAATAAAATATATTAAATATCCAGAGGACACGTCTCCTCACCTCTTACGGATGGATGTTTGTTGCTTGACAACGCATATTTATTGACTAGTAAACGCTGGTTGGAGATGTGGTTAATATCGTGCCGGTCGTTTTTGCATCCCATTATATTACCCTGGCACACGACTCATGCTGGTTTGACTTCTGACCACTAGTCATAGTTTGAACAAAAAAAAAATAATAATTTCTGAATTGCTGGGAATTCGAATAAGAGGAAAAAGGTTGAGACACTTCAAGTAGGTAACCAGAGAGAGAAAACAATGACAAACATGAAAGATTCGTTTGCATATAAAAATAAACAAGTTGGATATAAATGTATTTTAATAATATGCCAGCTGATGACTACAGAGTTGTACTCAGAGCTGACAAAACACCAGTTGGCCAACACGAAAGACAGTACAATGCACCAACAATTGATGAAGTGGCAATTGTTATGGTTGGCGAAGACTTTAAATATAATTCTTTATCGCAAAAATGGTGATGTTCAGCGAGTCCCAGAAACTCAGAAATAAATAAGTTGGATATAAATGTATTTTAATAACAAGCATTACCGACATCAAAAGATAGAATGATAAGACTGTGAATAAATAAGTAAGATAGATCTATAAAGTGGAGGAGGAAAGAGATACACAGCTGATCAATACAGATATGAATACAGTTTTGAACTGCACAAATAAAATTACAAGTTGAACTATAAAATTAGACAGAGAAAAAAAATATGTCCAATACGATTACAGTGAAAAATTTATTGCTTTGATCAGCCTACCTCGTATCGGCATTGTAAATATACGGTCACCAGTGACACAGGAGGAGACAATATCAGAGGGAAGGCAAACGCTGCCTTCTGCATGTGGAGCTTGCAAGCGAGACCAGCAAGATACGTACACAAAATTGCAGATCCCAGCTGGATATACAACAGGCTGCGAAACACAGACACATAAATAATCCACACACACACAAATATATTTCATATTTCGATGTATCTTGTCAGGTGCAATACTACAGTTACATCAACATATCAGAAAGCATAAAAACTGAAAAAAATTCCTCTGAAAAATAGTCTCTCTTGATATATAGTGTTTGTAAAGTTGCCGGAAGTTTACTGCAGTCACGTGACCTACCATGGTAACTTCTAATTGATTAACCAATTTCTTCTGCTTACATTAGACGTAATTGTTAATTTTTATTATGAAAGCTTCGGCCAATTTTAGCATTCGCCTGTTCCGTATGTGGTAAAGCGCCGTTCTTGTCAGTTACAAGCAAATGTCCTATAGAAAATGTGGATTCTTTCCTTTTGGTGGGTTACATAGGCAACACTAAACCAATAGCTAATAAAGTAAGTGAAGTAAGCACTGTGCCCTTTCATGTCTGTGGCGCTTCGGACAAATAGTGCTGGACCGGAAGCTTTTATTTCTGGTGATACCAAACGGTAGGCAGGACCGTCTATTTCTCTTTTTATGCTTCATTTTTTTTTTTTTTTCAACGATATTGTAACAAACACTTTGTGATGTGTACTGGCACAATTTTAGACCCTTTGTTGTGAATACCTGCTTCTTATTTTTTTTTTCTAGGAAAGAATACTGGTTAGACCTATATTTTTATTAACAATTCCGCGCTTGATGGGTGATTTGGTCATCGTCACACCGTCGCCATTATTTCATAGAACTGCATCTCTAAAAAAAATTTTAGGTTAGGTGAACGTAATCCTGAAACAAAATCCGTCTCCTTGCAAAACTTGAATACGATACCTTGAAGCCAGTGGGTGAGCGTCTGGTCGTTACACTGCCGCGGTTCCATTTGAAATGCTAGCTGCAAGGACACACCATAGGCAGCCTTTAGGGACAGCAAATACCAGTGAAGAATCATATTCCCCGCTTTCGCAAGCATTGGGCGTATAGTGCTAGACCTATACTTTATGGACAAATGGGCACTTGATGGGTGATGGGCATCAACATCATCCCAGTCGACTTTACTTTCTAGTGCTTTACCTGGTACCCATTTTAGACTGGGTCGACCTCTGACCCAGGTCATTAAAAAAAAGTCTGGCGCCATTAATATCTTAAACCACGACCTAGAAATCTGCAGACGAGAGTCAAGCCTCTTCACCACGGCGGCTCCTGGAAACACCCTTTCTGAGACTCAAAGCTTACTAAGACTACGGATAAAAAATAGTCCTATGGAAGAAGTTGGGGTGTAATCTGTTATGTTTTCTTTCATTATTATTAACTGTATAGGAGAATAGTGTATTGGGTATATGGTGCTAGATCTATATTTCCAAAGAACCATGGGCACTAGCTGGATCAAGTAGCCAGTGTCACGCCCGTTGCCTTTAATTTTCTGAACTCCCAGAGCGGACTCGAGCCCAAGACCTCTGTGCTTGGCTTGCAGTGAACCTTCTAGTCACTGCATCACCTTGGCTGCCAAGTGATATAACATATTTTCATAAATGTTTGGACCATGGGGTGTTCAGCGAGGTGTAGTCATGGTGGGATTACTTATAATCATTTAGTAGCGACACTGGCGTAGGTTTGTAACAGTCACCTATACTTTCTTCTTGCTGACCAGGAAAGGAACTTCACATCGTCTGTAATATGAATTAATGGAAATAGCTTTAAGAGAAGTAAGAATATCTGTTCTATTCAATTGTAAATCAACATTATCCGAAGGACTGAACAAAAGTTTCGAGGGTTATTTTGAAATCAGAACTGTAACATGTGTAATATAGATATCAATAAAACAAATATACAGCATCAGACTGTATGCCGTAGCTCTTCCAAGTGTTGAATAAAAAAACGTGTGAGACGGGGGAGGGCTACTTGCTGGGCCTTGTCCATTTTCTTATAAGAAAAAAAAAATAGGATATACTCACCTATACGAGATGCCATGGAATTCCGCCTCCGATTTTTTAGTTGCTTTACTCCATACAAAAAGTGAAAAGTCAGCTTCAGCGAGGTATTTGCCAAGGATGACCACCAGTGCTATCTTGAAGGGTGTTACCAGAAAAGTTACTGGTCTCTTTGGTATCCTATACAATTACATATTATAAGCTGTAAGTGTTTAATACATTCTATAATACACATAACACGTACATATAACGTAAGAACTGATTACGTTTTAAAAAGAAGTAAACATGGCTCACATGTATGATTTAAACTTAAATTATTGTGAACTTATTTCAAGTTTATATAATTTTTTTCTTTCATTTAATTTTGTATGTAGGAACAAAAGACAATTCTTTCAATAGAGTATAGATCATAAGGCTGAATTTTTTTTTTTTTTTTTTTTTTTTTTTTTTTTTGTATATCTTCCTCCATCTACAGAACTAAAAAGACTGATCCCTGTATCTTAAAGAGTCATTTTACGGATGGGAAACTTACAGGTGCAAATCCCAGAATCCCCATTTAACTATGTAACAGTAATATCAGGGCACCCGATTCCAACGAACATTTCCAATGTTGAGTGTGTGTGTTTTGTGTGCTTGTGTGTGTGTATGTGTGTGTGTATGCTAAAAAATATCAGCCATTATAGTGATTAAACGTTCACATCCAGTTACACAAAGGTGTAGCTCTCATGACAACATAAATGTGACCCACACACACCACAAATATATATACATATATATATATATATATATATATATATATATATATATATATATATGTGTGTGTGTGTGTGTGTGTGTGTGTGTGTGTGTGTGTGTGTGTGTGCGTGTGTGTTTGTGTAACTGGATGTGAACGTTTAATTACTATAAATGCTGACATTTTTTAGCACATGAGGTGCTGAGAACTATATAGTTCTCAGAAATAAACAATATTTTTGACAGGTCATACCTCACACTGCCTACCTGTAAAACATGACGCCAACGTTTGTATTTCAACTTGACCCTTCCAAACAATGACCAGTCACTGGATGCGTAGTTTTCCCACCAGCCAAAGGAAAACAAAATCAGACAAACTGGCAACTCCCATTTGAACTCGTGAAGAAGTACTTCGTCCAAACCTGTTTCTTTTGAGTAACTGTAGAATTCAAGTAAATGATAAGAGAGATGCAATACGACAAATTGTCCTAAAATTACTTTCACATATTTTTCTGGTTCTGTGCGTCTGCAACATAGGCGGGCGTTGTTTTCCGAAATACCTGGTTTGATTCCAGGAAGTAGACCGGTTTGCGTTAATTTCGACGGTTGTATTGAGAGTCAGTCGTTCAGGAACAATGACAAACTACCATATGTAAAAATTGCTTAGTAAAATCACAGACAGAAGAAAAATGGGATTCTGCAACGTCCTGTACAGCAGGTATGTCAAACTGAGGATCACCCAAGGGCCATGTGGGTCACATTTATGTTGTCACGAGAGCTACACACAAAAACTAAATGAAGTCATTTCATAATAAAATATTGTGTGGGCAACAGGTGTGCTTTTAAAGGGCCGTATTATTGTCATACCTGCTGTACAGGATACGCAACCACTTTTTTTTTTATTGTCCCTGTTCATCCTTTAAGATTTCACTAGTGTAATGCCAAGGTCTTTTTTTTTTTTTTTTAAACAATAATCAGGCTTTTCGTGGCTTTTATCCCACAACGTCGAATCCACATGCGAGCATCTAGTCGCTACACCACGCTAGCTAACCCAGTGTTAGATAGTGAGTTATGAAATAGTTTAGAACTGCGTGGGGCAGGGGGAAATGAATCTTTAGTAGAAAATAGATGATGACGGCACTGACAGCTGTCAAGAATCTAAGCCACTTATCTGCACTCCAGCGCGAATACCACCCACAACAGACACATGCGCACGCATTTAAACACAAAGATTCGACACAGATTAATTAACAGGGTTTTTGAAGACGAAAGGGGGAGAAAAATATTCATTCATGTTAAAATCAGGTCAACTTGTTTTAAATAAATAAATAATGTCTACGTCAGCAGTATTTAACCAAAGCTGTCTTCAATATTGAAGAGAGCCTCGATTCAACAAAGCATGTCTGGATTTATTTATTTTTAAACTTACTTTTTTTTAAAATCATTATCATTACCACAGGCTATTCCGATACGCTTGAGCAGTAATGATTGCTTATTTCACACATTAGATAGTCGTGAATGCGATGAACTGTTTCAAGCAAATGGCTAATACATTATCTTCCCCACACTTTTTTTTTCGATCAAATGTACCAAATGTCATCGAGTTAACAACCTTGTTTCTTCTCACAACACAGCCACAAATCGTGCTTGACTACGTGGTAACAGCTTGGTAGCGTGGTGAGGAGACTAAAACAATCAGTACGGTATCTAAACGAACACTGAACAGGAATCAGTTGCGCGCCAAAAATTAAATGGTATGGACATGTAAAAAGATCTAACGGTCTCTCATAACAATACTGCAAGGCTTATCAAATGGGAACACGAGAAGGGGCAATCAAGAAAGACCTGAATACAGAACTTGACTGACTTAAACATAAAGTCTATTGCCTCTGACTCTCAAAGGTGGAGGGGGCTGATAAGACCGTCAACAGCAACTGGTGACCCAACGATACGCAGTATTATGGGATGACAATGATGATGTGCTCTCATTCCCGTGTAGGGTTTTGTGGGGAGAGAGTGTGTGAATAAACCCCCTGACCCTTAACAAGCAAGTAGTAAAAGGCAACTCAAAACCCGCTGAAATCGGATGCGTTGGACCGAAGTACGCAGATAACGCAGTCTAGCTGTACACCTCTATAGAACACACCAACAGCCTTTTAAGGGTGAATCGCGAAGAAGAAGAAGAAGAAGAAGAAGAAGAAGAAGAAGCAGCAGCAGCAGCAGCAGCAGCAGCAGAAGCAGCAGCAGCAGCAGCAGCAGCAGCAGAAGAAGAAGAAGAAGAAGAAGAAGAAGAAGAAGAAGAAGAAGAAGAAGAAGAAGAAGAAGAAGAAGAAGAAGAAGCAGCAGTAGAAGAAGACAAAGACGAAGAAGAAGAAGAAGAAGAAGAAGAAGAAGAAGAAGAAGAAGAAGAAGAAGAAGAAGAAGAAGAAGAAGAAGAAGAAGAAGAAAAAGAAGAAGAAGAAGAAGAAGAAGAAGAAGAAGAAGAAGAAGAAGAAGAAGAAGAAGAAGAAGAAGAAGAAGAAGAAGAAAGAAGAAGAAGCAGTAGAAGAAGACAAAGACGAAGAAGAATAAGAAGAAGAAGAAGAAGAAGAAGAAGAAGAAGAAGAAGAAGAAGAAGAAGAAGAAGAAGAAGAAGAAGAAGAAGAAGAAGAAGAAGAAGAAGAAGAAGAAGAAGAAGAAGAAGAAAGAAGAAGAAGAAGAAGAGAAGAAAAAGAAGAAGAAGTAAGAAAGAAGAAGAAGAAGAAAGAAGAAGAAGATAGAAGAAGAAGAAGAAGAAGAAGAAGAAGAAGCAGTAGAAGAAGACAAAGACGAAGAAGAAGAAGAAGAAGAAGAAGAAGAAGAAGAAGAAGAAGAAGAAGAAGAAGAAGAAGAAGAAGAAGAAGAAGAAGAAGAAGAAGAAGAAGAAGAAGAAGATGATGATGAAGAAGAAGAAGAAGAAGAAGAGGAGGAGGAGGTTGTGCCTGTTGATCATACTCACTCGTGTGCAGTCAACACCTTGTCGTACTTTTCCACAGAGTACTCCATGATCATAAAGTAGACCAAACATCCGGTCTGAGCCAACATGGCTAGAACAGCCGCACAAGTCTTGAGCACAGGCTTGAAGCCGCACTTGTGCTGTTTGTCCAGCATTATCACCTGTACGGTTGAGATAGTAGTAGTGAAATATTACTAAATGGCGGTGTTATTAAGTTTTTTACGTAACTGACTTATAATTTTACTTTTTTTTTTCTTTTAAAGTAGAGCAGGGTCGCCGGGCTTTTCAAACATGAACACCCAACCCGAGAAAAATATTATGGAATTTGATGGGGGGGAAGTATGGGGATGGGGTGCTAAATGTGTGTGTGTGTGTGGGCTTAGTTACCTTATAACAAACTTAAGGTTTGCAGATGACATAGATGGGTTGGTCGGAGAAGAATAAGAACTAGTCGAGCTCGTAAGTATACTCGATGAAACATCAACCAAGTATGGCATGGAAATGAACGCAGAAAAATAAGTAATGACTAATAATCCAGCTGGCAGAATTTCACCAATCTGCATTCAAGGTCACAAATTAGAACAAGTGACTCATTTCAAATATTTAGGATCTATTTTAAGTGACTTGGGGTCACGGCAATAAATCATGTCTAGGATTTGCCCAGACAACGTCAGATCCTTGCCAAGCAGCAAACATATGGAGATCCAAAAACATTTCATAAAAAACTAAGATTCGATTGCTCAGAGCACTAGCTATTAGTGCATTTACATATGGCTGTGAAATGTGGACCTTAACAGCTGGAATTTAAAAAAAAAATAGATAAAGCATTAGAAATGCGATGTTTCAGAAAAATTCTTGGCATATCATACAGAGATCAGGTTAAAAAGAAGAGATTCGCCATAAAATTATATAGCACATTGGCAACTATGAACCTTTTTTTTAACTACAGTGAAAAGGTGAAAAATGAAATGGTATGGACATATAATAAGATCTAACGGCCTCTCAAAAACAATACGGCAGGGCTCAGTAGAGGGAAAGAGGAGAAGAGGCAGACCAAGAAAGACCTTGTTACAGAACCTGACTGATTGGACAGGCCTCATGCATGCAACCATGAAGTCCATCGCAACTGACCGCCAAATGTAGAGAGAGCTGATCAGACGGTCAACAGAAACTGGTGACCCAAAGACACGTAGTGTTAGGGACGATGATGATGATCATGAGTTACCTTGAGCTCCCCAACACCTAGAAACATTTTGTGGAATTTAGTGGGCGGAGAGAGGTTGGGGGACCTACATCTGTAAGTGGGCTAACTGGTAAGTAAAGTAAAGTAAAGATCCCTTTTCACGCCTTTAGGCGCAACTGGCATATGGGAAGAGCACCCATATTTTTACAGACCAATCGGCACTCGGTGGGTAATGTGGTCAGCATTACGCCGGCCGTCTCTACTTCTCCAGGACAGCCATCTTGGTACCCATTTGAGGCTGGGTCGACTTGCGACGTTCCATACCACGATAAGAATCCACGCAACCCGCAGAGGGTTTCAATCGCGGTACGTTGGATTACGAGTCGGACTCGTAACGCCTTAGCCACGGACGCCGCTGGCTAACTGGTGGTCAGTATTTTCTTCAGTGTGTTATTTTTAAATACATTTTCAACTTGCCGTTATATTTTCCTTCAGTATGTTTCACATTCATTTTCTGTCTTTTCATACGGCCCTATATTTAACTTACTATTCTCTTGTATATGTTTTTAACACTCTCTTTTCAACGACATGTATGGTTTTCTTTTTCTATGCTTAATCGCCACTTTTTTTCAGAATACTGTTTTAAAAGGAACAATATTTCTCTTTCTTATTCTCCGAATACCTCAACTAACTGCTTTTGTGAGATTGCTTCATTTTCCTATCTGGAGTTTTTTTTTTTTTTTTAATTCATACGTCCTTTTTAGGATGAAATGTGTTGTTTTTTGAAGCCCCACCCTGGCTTTTGCCAGGTGCTGCAATATAGGCAGGCCATAAATATGGCCAATTGTCTGAACGCGGTTTCTGGGACCTCTCCACGGTGATCCTCATCCACATGGTGGCACCTTGTGTCATCTGGTGTTTATCGCTTGTGTGATGTCCTGGTGGGGTAGAAAGTCAGTCAGTCAGTCATCCTGAGGTTTCAATAGTGTGTAGGCATAACTACATTTCGAAAGCCAGTTATCTTCTCGAGAAACTGACTGACAATGTTCTTGTCCAGCGCTGTCGGTAATGTAGAGTATATGTGACACTGGGAGGCGCCGTGGTGTAACGGATAGACGCTCGCCTGCTGATGAGAAGATTCTGGGTTCGGGTTCTACGGGTCTGACTTTTCTCAGCAATGACCTTGGCTCCTAGGTCGACCCAGCCTTGAGTAGGTACCAGGTGCATTCCTGAGAAGTATAGGCGGCCGGCGTGCTGCTAACCATATCACCCACCAAGTACCAATTGGTCCAGAAAATATAGTCTAGCCCTATATGCCCACTTTGACTAAAGGCGTGAAAAATGACCCTTTACTTTACTTTCCTTATACATGACACTGAACCACTTTTAAGAGAATATTTATTTTTTAGGTACACAGATTTTCGTCAATGAGTTTTACGAAAGCTCTAAGTTACATTGTAATTGGCCATACCTTAAGTATGCTCGGTATCTGGAACATTCCGAAGGTGAGTGTTATGCCTCGAAAGATATCCGTCGACGGCAAAATCTTGAACACCAACAGGCACATCCCATAAATGCTCACCAGTTCAAAAAACATCACCTGTAAACAGGGAAACAAGTGTTACAGTGATTTTGCATTAGCATTTGCCTACTGGCGTTGTGAAGTAAATAGTTGATGCTTCTTCTTCTTCTTCTTCTTCCTCTTCTTCTATTATTATTATTATTATTATTATTATTATTATTCTTCTTCTTATTATTATTATTGTTATTCTTCTTCTACTTTTTCTTCTTCTTCTTCCTCCTCCTCCTCCTGCTGCTCCTCTTCCTCTTGTTCTTTGTCTGTAGTAATCCAAGACTCAAATGTGTTGTACGTATTTATAGCATAGCTGCGATATTTTTCCGTTTCGACTTTTTTTCAGGCATTTTTGCAGTGTTAGCCTTCTTGTATAGGCATTGTACAGCCTCATTGTTGTGTCGTCATCTTTGCTTCCTTTCCCACTGCTGGAAACCCCCAACCCACCCCCACTTCCGCGCGCTTTTTACCCCCACCCCCTCCCCCTTTTTTTCGGATCGGCACAGAGCAGCCACGTAATGTTAGGCAGTCCTCAACCAAAGGCAGGAGCAGAATATTAGGGTAAATTATTTGAAATTCTTCTCTATTATTCAATAAAGCGATTTTACAGTAAATTCGTAAAGACCCATGTTAACAGCCTTTAGGTATAAGTGTTGCATCCTGTTTTTATAGACTAGTCGATGTTCGATAGCACATAAGTCAATATTTTAGTACATCTCAATGGGCGTACAAAATATTATATTTTAAGTATAACATTATTTCAGGTAATTTTTCTGGTTTGCATTTTAACTAAAGTTGACCTGGAAGCTCACGTCATTTCTCCTTGATCCGCCTTGATTTTGATTTAAGCCTAAGACATCCAGATCGGCACTGGTGTGTGCTAGCCACTGCGATACCACTGCTGCTCCAAATAAGAGTGTCACCAACAAAGTTTTTTGTTTTGAAGATGGCAGACGCAGCCATTTCAAAGCATCTTCATTAGGCTAGTTGCGTATCCGTTAGAGGACGTTGCAGAACCAAACCCAGTAGCCCCTGGCTGTTGTGTGGTTTCTCTAGGCAAATTTACGTCCAGTAGTTTGCCATTGCTTACTAAACAGTCGGCCCCCTTATACCAATGTCGAAACAAACACAAGGCGCATGGCCCGCAGCTGGGATCGAATCCGGCACCCTGGCATAACGAAGCGTTCGCATCGACTTAGCCACAGAGCCGACTTCAAAGCATCATATAAAGATTAAAGACTGGTCTGCAGAACATCAGTTTATTACAAACGGTTCAGAAAGGAAAAAAGTTTTGACACTTATAACTGCTCGATGTGCAGCGACATATGTTCTTTTTTAAGAGATGGTTCTCACTTCTTCTTGTTCTTGTTCTTCTTTTTGTTCTTCTTCTTCTTCTTCTTCTTTTTCTTCTTCTTCTACTACTGGCACTACTATACATGTTGTGATTGTAACTGACCCACAGAGGATGTTGAGAAATGTGAAAACCGGCATGCTCCGTGCAGAGTGGCAAGCATCATTTCAGAGGTCCCGGGTGGTTAGCATCCTTTGGATATTTTCTCCAGGGTATGACGATGTGTTGGAAAATGAGTAGGAAGATGTGCTGGCTGGCTCTGCACTACTTGGTGGTGAATTGGTGTATGACAAGTTAGATATTGTAAGGGCCCTTCTGAACGAGTGAACAGTGTGGAGGCGCAGATAGATCATTACGGTCTAAGGAGAATGGCACTGCGAGGAGTTACCATGGGATTTGGCCGACGCTAAACACTCAGTGGAAGGATGAGATGGATATACAAGCAGACGGTTTCTGGTACGATCGGAATTGGAACTCTTCGCTTGCTGCTGAAGATGGGAACTTAGCACTTATAGGGAGTGCTGATGTCAATTTTTAATTCAACATTCAACATTCTACTACTAGTACTCCTTCTTCTTTTGTTCCATGCCGTGGGGCGTTGGTAATCATGGCTATCTACAACCTTTTATCTTGTGTACTTAAAATCATTTCTGACACAGATGATCTTCCATAGCATGATGTCAAACTATGCAGATCTTCTCTCTCCCCACCGCCACGATGCACTTAAGTTTTTTCCTCTAACTTTCCCACCGTCACGATGCACTCAAGTTTTCTCCTCTAACTTTCCCACCGTCACGATGTACTCAAGTTTACTCCTCTAACTTTCCCACCGTCACGATGTACTCAAGTTTTCTCCTGTAACTTTCCCACCGTCACGATGCATTCAAGTTTTCTCCTCTAACTTTCCCATCGTCACGATGCACTCAAGTTTTCTCCTCTAACTTTCCCACCGTCACGATGCACTCAAGTTGTCTCCTCTAACTTTCCCACCGTCACGATGCACTCAAGTTGTCTCCTCTAACTTTCCCATCGTCACGATGCACTCAAGTTGTCTCCTCTAACTTCCCCACCGTCACGATGCACTCAAGTTTTCTCCTCTAACTTTCCTATCGTCACGATGCACTCAAGTTTTCTCCTCTAACTTTCCTATCGTCACGATGCACTCAAGTTGTCTCCTCTAACTTTCCTATCGTCACGATGCACTCAAGTTGTCTCCTCTAACTTCCCCACCGTCACGATGCACTCAAGTTTTCTCCGCTAACTTTCCTATCGTCACGATGCACTCAAGTTTTCTCCTCTAACTTTCCTATCGTCACGATGCACTCAAGTTGTCTCCTCTAACTTTCCCACCGTCACGATGCACTCAAGTTTTCTCCTCTAACTTCCCCACCGTCACGATGCACTCAAGTTTTCTCCTCTAACTTTCCCACCGTCACGATGCACTCAAGTTTTCTGCCTCTCACGACATGATCAAACAAGATTGTCTCCTTCAGATTTGGGCAATCAGGTCTCTTATTCAGACTTACCACTGCAAATGTTCTTAAGGACGGCCACTCTTTGCCGCCGAAAAGGATCTTCAGGAAGGATTTGAGCCATGTGTACAGCATGGGAGCACACATACAGATCATCAGTTGCACAACACTCCGGCCTCGAGATTCCACAGTCTGCGGAGGAAACAACTGAAATCATCGCTGTACGACAGATACAACTATATACAGTCTGAGATATTACTATCCTATAACTCCTACTGAGCGGAATGCTGGAGAATGATCAAAAAGGATGCACATAAACTATCCACCTTCCACCACACATGTGTACTTAGAACTATCAAAATTTTCTTTCCAGATACAATCTCAAACTCTAAACTACTTCAAGTCACAAACTAATAAACTCTAGACAGTATCATAACCAAGAGAAGATGGAAATGGCTTGGCCACATTATGAGAATGAATCCTGATATTCCTGGGGGGGGGGGGGGGTGGGGGAACAGCGCTCATCTGGATACCAGAGGGAAAGAGAAAAAAGGGGCGCAAACCAAACAAACAAACAAACAAAATGGAGACGAACGATGGAAAGTGACCTGAGTGCGGCATCTCTGACATGGAAAATTGCACTGAAGAATGCACAGGACAGGAAAGCAGGGAAAGTCCTCTCTGAAGCCTCATGTGCCACTCTTCTTCTTCTTCTTCTTCTTCTTCTTCTTCTTCTTCTTCTTCTTCTTCTTCTTCTTCTTCTCTGATAGCATTCCGAGCCATTGTAGCTAATTGCCTATATATCACCCGCCTCCATTCATCTCAGTGATTGACTTTCTTTTTCGAGGTGGTGACTCCAACTGTATACGGATCTGCCTGTGCACTGTCTCTCAAACGACTTCTTGGTCTTCTTTATTGTCTACTTCCATTAACGCTTGTAGCAGATCTCTTCTTTATATGTTTTTGTGACCCAGATTCGTCTTTTGCTACAAGAGGAGTCGATTTGAAGAATATAGACGAGGAAGGCTGTGTCGATAGTGGTAGTGACGATGATGTTGTTCTATCTTGATTTTGACATGCTTCTCACTTCACTCCGATGATCTGTAAAACGTGCTGAAATAACTGTTCTTTTGAATGAACTGTCTTTATTGTCATCTCTCAGTACCATGAATAAAACTACAGTTATTTCTGAATGGCAGTTGTCTCCTTCAGTTATACATCTGTGTATGTATGTATGTGTATGTGTGTGTGTGTGTGTGTGTGTGTGTGTATTTTTCTTTCTTTAATCTATTATAGACAGCACTCATCATCAATAGCCATAGAAGGTGGCATATAAGTTCGTTTCTCGTCAAAGATTTAAACCCCCGACTAGTTCCACATGGTATGCACAGAAGAGTTTACTGTCTTGTGCTCTGGTCACGCCTGTTGGTTACCAAAATGTGTTCAGTGAAGCCTGATTTCCACCAGGGACCAAACAACCTGCCAACTTAGCCAACTCCCCTGAGTAAATGGGGGGGGGGTGCCGGCTCAGTCCCACCCCCTCAGGACAATGAGTAACGGATTAAACTACACCCCACCCACACCATTTTTCTGTGTGTGCTAATTATGTATAGAAGTTCTCATTATAAGTATTGTACATTTTATATTAGGTTTAACATATTATTACATTTGTTATGCTAGTCGGCATATTAATATTTTTGTTATTATCTTCTTCTTTTCGTTCGTCCGAGTGACGTAATTGCTTTGTGCCTTTTTACAGCAAAGCTGCTATATCTGCACTTTTCGGCCGACATATCTGACTTCATCAAGCATTTCCTGATCCGGTTCACTACCCGGTTTTTGTTATTATTAATATTATTATTCTTATTAATATTATTACTTTTCAGTTAAACAAGGTTTAAGAACCACATCCCAGTACATTCCCTCTCCCCCCAGAACAACTGTAAAGGAACTGAGGTTCCCCTCATGTTTTCTCTGTGTCGGCGCCTGTGCTTTCCATTACTCAATAAAATTTAAGACTGTCACTGCTGTCTGTCTTACCATGTTTTAAGGGGGATAAAGACAGGAGGGTCGTGAGTCTGAGGATTAAGGACCACGTGGCTAGTGCTGTCGCCACGGACTGTGCAGGTTAGGATGTTTAATTCTGTAACTGCTGGACCAACCGCTTCTTTACTTTCCTTTCGTGATCTACGTCACGTTATGCACTTACATACCTGACTGATATCACTGGCCAGCAAATGGAGGGACAGCCGGCTTGCCACTGTTCCTATCAGTATCACACCCACAAACACAACGTACAAAGAGCTGCGAATGACTTTCAGAATTTCCTTGAACACTTTGTTGTCGTCATCGGTTTCTCGTTCAGAAACGGTGAACATATCGTATGGGCGCCTGGATGTGGTCAGAGGGGACAAAAAATAAAAGAACGATATTACAAAGACGAAAATGCATTTTAATGAGTGTTATAGAGAATGTATTTGGATGTAAATGAATGAGCTAGGAGAGCGGACAGAATGGGCGTTGTTGTCGGAAATTTTTACGTCAAAATCTATCTCAGTTTGAAAAATAAGGCAGAATGTTGTTGCAACTTTTTGTTTTTAAATTGGCTTTGGGATAAATATGTATTGACAGTGCCGGATTTAGACATAGTGAGGCCCTAAGAAATATAAAACCATAAGGCCTCAACTATTCTAAATTACAGCAGTTAATCTGAGAAAACTTAAAAATATATGCGCCTTTCAAATATATTATTAATGGAAAGATTTTGTCGTTCATATTTTAGTAAAATAAATAATGTATTTGCAAAATGACAGAAATTATTTTATACAATCCTCTAAAGAGGTCTATTAAAAGACAACTGTATTTGAAACATTCTAAAACAAAATTACCTTTGCAGAAAACAATTAGAGGAATTTGTTGAAGCCCTTGCAGACTGTGATGCCCTAATCTGTAGCTTTGTTTTAGCTTATACCATGCAATGTATATTGACCGTACTATGCCATTTATTGTCAGCTGATTAAATGAGCACTTGGCACACAGTTTGTGTGAGATGAACGTTTTCTAGCGCAGCTTCCATATTTACTTCTGACTAAATTCTTGAAATTCTTACTAGTTTCTCTCTCAATGTTTGTTTGGCTCATTGTGTGAGCTTATATGTTCATTATACATCGGCATGTTTATAATGTCTTCTTCTTCTTCTTCTTCTTCTTCTTCTTCTTCTTCTTCTTCTTCTTTCTTCTTCTTCTTCTTCTTCTTCTTCTTCTCCTCATCTCTTCTTCTCTTCTCCTCCTTCTTCTTCTTCTCTTCTTTCTTCTTCTTCTTCTTCTTCTTCTTCTTCTTCTTCTTCTTCTTCTTCTTCTTCTTCTTCTTTCTTCTTCTTCTCTTCTCCTCCTCTTCTTCTTCCTCTTCTTCTTCTTCTTCTTCTTCTTCTTCTTCTTCTATTTTTTCTTCTTCTTTCTCTGACATTCTTGACCCATTATTTCTCTTCTTCTTCTTCTTCTTTCGTCTTTATCTTTTTCTGCTTCTATTTTTAGTATTGCTAGCTCTTGGAGGTCATTGCTGCCTACATTCATATTTGTGATTGACCCATTTTTTCTGCTTCTCATTATTATTCTTTTTTTACTACTCCTGTAGCTGCTCTTGTTGCTGCTGCTGCTACAACTACTACTCCTCCTCCTCTTTCTGCTACTACTACTACTATATAATTTAAACAATAGATATATGCAAATACAATGTTATAAAGATTGCTTACATGCTGCAAGAGAGATATTTGTAAGATTTTTGTTTCATATTTACCATATTGGGTTTTCCTCGTCTTCCTCTTCCTGCTTCTCGTCAAACATACTGTCCTCATGTTCTGCGAGTTTTCTAAGTCTTGTTACAGATGCCACTTCTTCATCTGCTGCCTTGCTCTTGTATGTGGAAGTCTCAAAGGAAATACCCGACTCAAACTCTATGTAATCAGGCTGTAGGTTGCAAGCACTGTCTGTGGAATCATTGTCCTTCCAGTTTGAAAATAGCTTCTTCGATGGAGGGAAAAAAAGAATTTTTATTTTCATTTTAATGCGAGTTAAAATAAACATGGAGTTAAGATGTATGGGAAATATTGCTGACAAGGCAAAGTGAGACTGAATTTTAGAATACTATTGACAGATCAGAGCAAGTAATTATTCTACGCCTTAGAACAGGACACAGTCTACTTCGCAGCCACATGTATGCACAATTTAAGATTGGCCACTCAGTCATTGGCAATTGTGGATTGGCATCTGAGACAACAGAACACATCCTTAAAACACATCAAGGCAAAACTTTTGGCCAAGAGAAACATCGGTACAAGCCAAACTTTACGGTCGCTGAGTGAATTAAAAAGGTAAAGGTGAGAAGATCGACCGAGAGGATTGCCTCCGTAAAAATTGTCTTCGTGAACTGAATGGCGCCTGTATTGCCACTGTATTGCCACTGTATTGCCACCCAAAAATAACAATAAATGATGAAGAAATTGAAAATGACACAAACTTTGAATATCTAGGCTCTATAATAGACAACAATGGAGACTGTTCGACAGAAATTAAAAGGAGGATGGCCAAAGCAATGCAAAGATTAAACAGCCTTAAAAGTCTATGGTTAAGCACCAGCAAGGAGATAAAAATTAGAATTTTTAGAGCATGCATCTACCCTGTGGCTACATACGGATGTAAGTCGTGGACCATCTCTCAGTCCTTAAAAAAGAGACTAGGGGCTTTTGAGCTGAAATGCTATAGAAAGATTCTCAGAATATCTTGGACAAAGAAGATGAGAAATATTGACATCTTAAAAGATCTGAATATCAAGGAAGATTGACTAATAAACAGCATCCTTTATCGAAAGCTGAAATATTTTGGTCATATCAAGCGAAACGACGGATTGAAAAAAAATTACAGCAGAAGACATGGTACCAGGAAGGAGCGGCAGGAGCCGACCGACACGAAGATGGGCACAGGATATAAGTGACTCCTTGAGTGTGAAAGTTCATGAGGCGGGAGAACTGGTGAGAGACCGAGTTTCTTTCATGCAGACTGTGATGAGAGTGACGTTCTGCAAAGGACCTGCTACATGATGATGATGAATAATTAATCTATCCATGGTTTGCTTGGTCCACCTCTGGCGCTGCTACTATTATGTCCAAATGACATGGTTCTGTGTAGGGCATTATTTGGTGGCAGTCTTGACGCATGACCAAACCATATGATCTGTTGTCTCTTTGTGTAGTTTGATACTGGTTCCATCCTAACTTCTTTCCTGGTACCGTCAGTCTGACAGAAGAAATCCCAAATACCGTGTTCAAGCTCCTAAAAAGGTATAATTACTTTACACCTGACTTCTAAACATAGTATTTCCATGTTTTCTAACCCATGTCTAATTATTGTTACTGTTTAGTATCGCACAGTTTCTCTTTTAACCCCAACAGATTATATAATTGTAGATTATACATGTTAAGTGTATGCTTTAAATAACTGTTATAATCAGATTGTGTCATCTAATCTTTGTAAGTTCTCTGGTTATTATTATTTTACTTTGCGATATTATTACCTTACATACAATTTACTGTTCTTACGATTAACAGTTTAATCCGTCCGTGTAGAGCTATATATCTTTAACATGATATGCTAAGTCCCAATTTATTGTTTTAATATGTAGAACGTCTACTAACAGAATGAAATCTTATCCTCCCCACCCCCAATTTCCTTGTAATTCAAATCAAATTTCACATCCCATCTTACTGGTTAGCTGCGTATCCTTTACAGGACGTTGCAGAACCAACCCCAACAGCCCCTGCCATTGCTTTCAGGCCGGTCGGCTTTCTTGATACCACTGTCGAAACCAACGCAAGGCTCCCATCTTTCTAACACCACATAAATTATCTTTTGTACACACACACACACACATAGACATACACACATAGACATACACACATAGACACACACAATACACACACATATATCAATATATGTACATATATCCCCATTAATTGCTCAGTCTTCATAGACTGTTAAAATAAGAAAGTAAAAAATGGGATACGGGAGAATGAACGAGCGAACGAATATTATTTTTAAATGTTTACATTTCGGTACACAGTCCGGTTTAACAAACTGCCCTTCTGGTTCCACTCCTGGCGTACATGACTTCATTCATATATCATTTGACAGATAACGATAGCCATCATAAACAACATCTAAGGAGAGAGGTTGGTGCGCCTGTTATTTGTTCTCAGTGGTTTGGGTTGAAAACCTGGTTGAGCCGCTGAGAGAGAGAAAGAGAGAGAGAGAGAGAGAGAGAGAGAGAGAGAGAGAAAGAGAGAGAGAGAGTAGAGACTAAGAGTTTTCGTGGAAGATAAAGTATGAAAGTATGAAATCACAGACAGAAAGTAGAAATTCAGCACATTTTTGGGTGTCAAAGAATAAATACCTGTGGATTTATATTTTAATGTGATTTAAATGAAGTGGCAATAGCACAATGGTTGACATGCTTACCTAGGGCCTATTGTGTGGAAATCCTCAATGAAGCTTTGGATTATTCACTAACTGACTACTACTGCTGTTGCTGCAGTTGTTACTACTGCTACTAATGCCGCTAATGCTGCTGCTACTACCATAACTGCTACAGCCATTACTGCTATTAATAATGCTGCAACTGTTGCTACTGCTACTTTGCTGCTGCTGCTACTATTACTACTACCAGGGAAGTAAAGCTAGACGATAACAATATCCCCCCCCCCCCGCCGCCTCCAGGTAGTACTAATCAAAAACTTAAAAAAACTATGGCGTATACGCAATAAATATCCCCACAGGTCTTAAGGCGTGGGAAATGATCCTTCGCTTGAACTATTATTTCAGTGGCTTCAGGGCTTCTGTAACGATTGTTATCTGTCATCAGTAACGTGCTGGTGTATGTCTTTTTAATCTCTGAAGATTGCCAGATAAGACAGAAAGCGCAACAGTAATAGTTTCTGGTGTATGATATTGCTGTGACTGTTACCGCTACAGTATCGGTATTAAAAGTGTAATTAACAGTAGTAATATTTTTTTTTTTTTTTTAGATATTGCATTGATAGTGTAGAAGTAGCAGTAGAAGTAGTAGTGATGATGGTAGTGGTATTAAAAGCTGTAATAGCAGTGCAGTAATAATAGCAACAGCAGCGTAAACAGTAGTAGTAGTAGTAGTAGTAGTAGTAGTAGTAGTAGTAGTAGTAGTAGTAGTAGTAGTAGTAGTAGTAGTAGTAGTAGTAGTAACAGTAACTGCTGTAGCAGTAATCGTAATAGCAACAACAGGAGGAGCAGCGGCAGTAGTAGTAGCAGTGGTGATGGTGGTAGTGATAGCGGTAGCAGTAATATCAGCAGATGCAGCAGTAGCAGTAGTAATAATGGTAATAGTAACAAATAGAGCAACCGTGGCATTAATAAGAGAAGTAGAAGTAGCAATAGCCGCAGGAACAAAAGCACCAGTAATTATTGTAGTAGTAATAGTAGTAGAAGCAACAACAGCAACATTGACAATATAGTAGTAGTAGCAACAGGAGCAGCAGTGGCAGTATAGAAGTAGTAGTAGCAACAGGAGCAACTGTGGTAATATAGCAGAAGTAGTTCCAGCAGCAGCAGTACTAGCAGTAGTAATAGCAGCAGCAGCAGTAGTAGCAGCAGTAGTAGTAAAAGCAATAATATTAGTAGTAGCAGAGCCGTCCCCATCTTCAGCAGCAAGCGCATAGTTCAAATTTCGATGGTACAATACCAGTCTTTCGAAGGGCACATCGTTAATTAGTCGCCTCTTATGACATGTTTGATATGAGGCAGTGGGTATACTGTTCCCCCCCCCCACATTGGCACCATTAAATCTACATGAGGGGGGGGGGGGGGTTACCATGAGCGTAAAAGTTACTGTTATAATGAATACTAGTTTAACATCGGTAGCGTTAGTATCTGGGTGATTCTAATATTCTCTTTGTTGTGAAAAAAGATGTACTTACCTGTCCATTTCCTTTGACCGATTGGACCTCCATTGCTTCTTGCACAGGTGGAAGGACATTAACTCTACCGCCTTGTGAAGGAACGCCCTGCGTTGTGTTTCCTGTCACAAAGAAAGGATGTGTCTCTGTCAAACTGGACATGCTATGGCTGTGTTTCTGTGAGTTGAGTCGAAGGAGACCCGGACTAGAAGACCTACGATCAGGGGGCTTTCCAGTTTCAGATCTAGGCCTTTGCTCTCTCGCTTTTTTAGAGTTCTCGCTTGGTGCCTGGCTCAAATCTGGGACACTCGAAGATCTGTCTAAAGACTCCCCCGCAGCGAAGTTTTTTCCAGGCTTACGAATAACGTTTTTCGCAGCTTCTTTGGAAAATATACTGTTTAACTTGTCCCGGATACCTGCTTTGGAAATATCTTGAAGGTTGCTCTGATAGACAGTGTTGCTTTGGCTTGGATTGTTATCACCGGAGAGCTGAAATTCGTGGTTAGGATTTTTGTAGGCACTTTTACGATGTTGCTCGTCACTGCCGTATGTTTGTCCTGGAGCAGGAGAAATATCGCGAAGATGGCCATAATCCATTTTAACGTCGTCTGGAACGGCGTATTCGGCCTGTACTCCGGGTAATGGTGGAGCCAGTGGAATGTTGGGCTTATCAGAAGTCGCTGGTAACGACAAATCTCGCTGTAGTCTATCACCCATTTGACGTTCTATATCCAAGTAGGAAAAAGAGCCATGTTTAACGAGCCCATATCTTTCGCTGTAAGTCGGTAAGTTAACTTGCTTTGGCGAGCTGGTCCTAGTTTTCGAATTGTAGTGGCTAGACTGTGCCATAGCTCCTGCTGGAAAATCAGTCTGCTGGATTTGATTCTGGCCGGTATAAATTTCTATTCTGTTGTTTGATGGTGGTCTCGCGTATGGTGTTCCATACAACCTTGAAGGTGGCACCAATGAATTATCCGAGCTACTGGTACTGATGTATATTCCAAACGCACTTTCATCTTGGCATTCTGAATATACTCTCGACGGGAGGTCTTCTCGGGAATTAATCCCTGGGCGGTTCTTATATTGTCCCTTGAAATACACGTTTACATTATTGCTGTGGGCTTTCACCTCGGCCGGGGTAATCTCCGGTTTAGGCGATTCAATATGTGACTGATGAGTTGTTCTATCACTAAATGATTCTTCGGTGATTTCAGTGTGGCCGTCCACTGATTTAGCTGGGTTAATGTGAGGTATATTCATACTAGCTGTTGATAAATATCTATGCCTCAGCTGAAGGAAGCGTTCATCCGCGTCGGCATTCAGTAAATCAGCTAGTGATCTTGACAGTCGCTCTCCCGATCTGGAAAACATCTATTATTTTTAAAAAATATGTAAGTATATAAACAGTAGTATTATACATGCATTAATAATCTGATTAACCAGATATGAGTAACAAATGCAAGATTATAAAGCAATAAGCAATAATAGATTGCTGCATTCGAGAGGATACCGGATCACACAGAACGTAGCCAGAGGGTTGAATTAAGTCTTCACACATAACAACATCCTGAGTTACTGTATTTTCACCGTGCACCAATGGGGGGTCTCCGTGGCAAAGTGGTTCAAGCCGTTTTCCTCGTGCTCTGAAAGTCGTCAGTTCGTTTCAGTGCTGCGCCGTTCAGTTAACGAGTGCCAGGATTGTCGCCGGGGCTACGGAGTTGGTGCTTTTGCTGAGCTCTTGGCAGGAGGCTAGTCGTTCTGCGGAGAGAGACAGAGCCATATGGAATTAAAAACCGGTGCAATGAAGTCGATCGTCCTGACTTTAAACTTAAAAATTCACCATGCACCAACTGTCCACCACTGTGGTACTGTGTAAACTTTACCATATTTCATACAGAAAGTAAAACCTCACTTGAAAGAGGGTCGAGTTATAATTATGAAATTAAATAATATTATATAATATTTATTGTTTAAGTACTACACATTTCAGTGTATTTGTTGTCCTGGGATAATCGCCTGTGAATCGGAAGGTCATGGGTACGGGTCTTGACGTAGCTTTTTCTTCAAAAATGAGTGGGTACCATGTGCAGTCCTGGGAAGTAAAGGCGACCGGCGTTATGTTGACTATATCACCCACCTTGTGCCGATTAGTTTTTAAAATATAGGTCTAGCCCGCTCCCTCAATGGTCAATAGGTTCTCAAGGATTTTCACCATGTGGTCCAGTCATTTGCTATCGCGTGCAGATCACCACCAATTCCCCCCCCCCCCCCCCCCACACCCTAACGTTCTCTGTAATTGTTTTTACTCCACTTATCCTCTCCATCAATAGTCTTTGGTATTCCTCTACTTATATTAGATTATTGTGTATTCCAGAGTGAGCGAACTCTAATTATATTGTTACTGAATTTTACATTCTTCTCATTCTTAAAGATCATGCCGTATGGCGTTGGTAGTTATGTCTATTTTCCATGCCATGACGTCAGACTGTCATACATCTTCTCTCTCGGTCTCCTGTTGTCTCTTTTTTCCTTCCAACTTTCCCGCCATCACGATGTATACTCCAGTTTTCTACTTCTCCTACTATGATCAAAGAATGTAGATTACCTCCTTTTGTTTTGGGCAGTAAGTTTTCTTCGTAAGTCAGTTTCATTCAAGACATATTCAAGACTCTTTTTATCTGTCTACGGTATTCTCATCTTCTTCTTCACTTCCTCTTTTACCGCTGTGGGTGTCGGGGGAGATATAAGGTTCTGTTTCTAGCTCTTCTGGCTGCCTCGACCATAGGCACATCGTGCTGTTGTAGAGTTTCTCTGATGTTATCCTTCCATCTTGTTCTTGGTCTACCCCGTGCTCTACGTCCTTCTTCTCTTTCCATGTATGCTTTGTATGGTATGGTGTCACAAGGCATTCTCTCTAAGTCGGCAAACCATTTCACTTGCTGTCCTTGTATGTAATCCAAAATTGGTTCTGTGCCAACTTGTTCTCTTATGATCTCATTCCTGATCTTATCTCTTATGGTCACTCCTACAGCCCTTCTCAGACATCTCATTTCCGTGGTTACTAATTTTCTTTTATGGTTTGTTGTAAGTGACCATGTCTGGCACTGGTAGCACAAAGTTGGAATAAATATGCTTTGAATAAGATGTCTCTTTGTGCTGATTGGGATTGTCTTATGCTGTAAGAGGGAGGCTAGCTGTCCCAATATTTGGTTTGCTTTACTGCATCTAATGTCAATTTCTTTATCCATCATTTATCTATAAAATCACATCCTCGCGGCTTCCAAATAATGTTTCACTCATCACCAACTGTCCAAGAACAGTTCGTTTGATATTCAGTGAAGTAACGGAAAGGACCATCCCTTTATTCGTATTGGGCAAAAGGGGCTAGACCTATATTTTATAGACCAATCGGCACTCGGTTGGTGATATGATCAACATCACGCGGGCCGCCTTCGCTTCCCAGGAATTTACATAGTACTCAATTAGGACATGATCGACCTGGAAGCCAAGGTCATTTTTAAAAAAAACTCCCACTCCGTCAGGACCTGAACACACGACCTTCGGATCCACAGGCGGACATCTAGTGGCTACACCACGGTAGCTCCGTAGTTTTACATTACCTAGGGGGGGGGGGGGGGGGGGGGGGGGGGGGGGGGGGGGGGGACCTAATTCCAGAA